CGGGGCCCCAGGGGTGGGCCCCCCTCTGCCGGGGGAGCCCCTGAAGCCCCTTCGCTTTGGGGGGCTGCTTTGGGACCATGTGCAGTCCTGCGTGGCATAGGGGGTGTACCCAAGAAGATACACCATGGAACGTGGGCTGGGACGGAGCGGTCCCAGGGGCCTGGGGCTGCCTAACCTCCTGTGTCTGTGTCTCCTTCCAGCTCCCCTGCAGCACAGGATGAAACCGCTGGCATCCTGCCTGGGCCTGTGGCTTCTCTTCCAGCTCCCTACCCTGGTCTGTGGGACGCGTGTGGTCTACAAAGTGCAGGAGGAACAACCCCCCAACACCCTCATAGGGAGCCTGGCCTCTGACTACGGCTTCCCAGACGTGGGGCACCTCTACAAGCTGGAAGTGGGGGCCCCGTACCTACGTGTGGATGGCAAGACTGGGGACATCTACACCACAGAGACCTCCATCGACCGGGAGAGCTTGCGTGACTGCCAGCACCTCCTGCCCGGGAAGCCCTGCTTCCTGGAGTTTGAAGTGTCCATCACTGACCTGATCTTGAACAGCAGCCCACGCCTGCTGGAGGGGCAGATAGAGGTGCTCGATATCAATGACAACACCCCCAACTTTGCCTCGCCCGTTCTCACCCTCTCCATCCCTGAAAATACCAACATCGGGGCGCTCTTCCCCATCCCCCTGGCCATGGACCGGGACTCAGGCCCCAATGGCGTTGCCTCCTATGAGCTGACGGCTGGACCGGAGGCGCAGGAGCTCTTTGGGCTGCAGGTGGCGGAGGATCAGGACGAGAAGCAACCTCAGCTGATCGTCATGGGGAACCTGGACCGGGAGCAGTGGGACTCCTACGATCTGACCATCAAGGTGCAGGACGGAGGCAACCCTCCGCGGGCGAGCAGTGCCCTGCTTCGCATCACCATCCTGGACATGAACGACAACGCGCCCAAGTTCGAGAAAGCCCTGTACGAGGCGGAGCTGTCCGAAAACAGCCCTGTGGGGCACTCTGTCCTCCAGGTGAGTGCGGGAGCTTTCTTCTCGTCTCCAGCTCCCCTCCCGCCTGGCTGCAGCAGGGACAACCTGGGGAGCATTTATACGGCAGACTGCTGCCATGGTTCCTCAAGGGGGGAGGGAGCCTAGAAGGGCTGCAAGCCGTAGGAGCCCACAGTGTCACCCGGGGCCAGCAGGCAGGCAGGTCCCTGGGTTGTCACATCTGCTAAAACAAGGTTTGAAAGGATGCGCGGGAAGGTGCAGCCAGAGCGGGGGCTGCAGGACACGACGGAGGGGCAGCAGCAGGGCTGGCAGGTATGTGGGAGCAAGGCTCTGGGTTATGGGGAGGGCTGGGACCTGAGGTTCACGGGGAGTCTGGCTTCATGCCAGACCGGTCTCAATGCTGCCCGCAGACAAGACATAGACTCTTTCATAAGTTGCATTCCCTTGGCCGCTCCATGGAAACTCAGGCTCGTGCAGGAGATGGGGGGCAGGCAGCATCCCTGCTGCCCATCTAGGGGGGCTGCCCGTGACTCCGGGGGATCGTCACTGTCTGCAGCGCACCGGGGGC